GGGGGGGGGATACATAGTAGACCTAGGTCTACTCTCCAGTGAATTCATGCATCCTAATTCTTTCAAAAATGTATCCTTGTTTTTTCTAGAATTTTCCTAAAGCTAAAATCAATACTTACAAGACATTATATTTGAATCTCTCTAGAAAGATTCCCAAGCTATTCTCTATTCTCTAGATCTTTTCTTTTTTCTCTTCAGCCCGGGAAACTCATGCTAAAATTTTCCTTTTACATTTTCACCCTCCCTTTTTTCATTTCAACATTGTGGACCCTGAAAAACTACTCCAAAACTCGTGTAAAGCACGCACGTGACCCTTATAATTTCGCTAATTTGATCAAGTCAATTGGGATTTTTTCCATATATTTACTGTAAAGTGAAACGAGTTTTTGGTGGGAACAAAGAGTATAGACAAAGGTTATCAGATAGACTGGAACCAAATTTTATAAAATACACGATTTGCATCATAGAACAAAGATCAGGGGCAATTTTGAGGGTTTCAAGGGATTATGGTACGTGGGCCTAGAAATACGGTAAGAGCATAAAACATAGAGATCTATATATAGGCATTCATTGTAGTAGATATCAGTTGGTTTGAATTTGAAACAGAGCAGAAATTGGGGTAGAACAAACACCCCTAGCAATCATCTTGAGTTGCGCAGAGGGATGATGCCGCGCTCCACCGCCAGTAACTGCTCTGATACAAATTCAGCATACTATCTACAAAAGACGATTTTAACATATTGGTACGGCTATAACATGACTGTTTACCTTATCCAAGCCCTGAATTTTTCGATTACGGTAGTTTCTAAGTTATTTTACCTTTCCAGGTCGATACTTTTACGAATGCCGAGCTGGTCAACTCGAACCCCGTGGTTGCGTTAGCGAATCAAACCGACAGCTACCAATTGGCTCCACGATCGAAGCCGGCGGTTACGTAGCCCGTTGTGAATTAGGTAAGTGCCCTCCCTAGCCATTACAACCTTCATTACCCATATCTAGCTCCTTTATGGAGTCAGTAACTCATTCGGTCCCACGCTCCGACAGCCTTTTATAGCCAACGGAAGTATAAAACGAGCCTAACGAGCCTATTTTAGGATCTGACGGCTATCTACAGTTCCGTTACGTTGCATGTGTTGGAGACGATGGTAGACATTACAAAGTTGGAGAAACATGGACGGATGCTCAGGTTTGTAAAGAAGTTCTGATCATTATCGCACGAAAAAATATCGATAAAGCGCATCTGCACCTTTTTCAGATTTTTTCTGCAATGGTTTCCACTAAGGAAGACAAAAAATGATTTTCAAAGACACATATATTCAAAAAAAAATCGCTAAACTGCTCAGGATTTACAACCACGCGGAGACAAAAAAAAACTTGGCGAAAACGAAAACCAAAGACGGTTCTGATCATTTTTTCATCACTGAGACTTCCTCTTTTTCTGCTGCCCCACCCCTACCAGCTATCAGCTACCCCATACCCTGATATGACCTTGATTTTCTGAATGAATCAAATATTGAGATCATTTGTCTTCGTAAAGTTTTACTGGCTACTTTTTGATGTACATTTTAAAGTGCAGCATGAGCGATGCGAAGACAAATTGCTTAGTTTGCAAAAGCGCAAAA